GTGACAATGGTAACGCCACAACAAGTCGCGATGAAGGTAGTCGTCGACAGCGCAAGAGGGTAGACAGATATGTCTGCTCTTAACGCTGTCTTCTGCCGCGGTCCAGTCAACCCGTGACCATGGAGCGTGCAACCGTTCCGAAATATCGGGAAAATAAAAAGAAGTCATACCGTGGTAAGAAACCTGATGTTAGTGATAATCATTTAGTGAATAACCACGAAAGTCTTAAAATCTAAACACATACTTTTGCGCGATTGACGCTCTGTATGCGATTTTAACCCCCTGTAGGTGCAGACACTTTTTAGCGCGAACCCGACGTCCATTTATTTGTAGGTCGATGATATCTGAACAAAAATTGGACGCTACAAATGGCGGATTTCTTTAGTGTTGTACCATAATCTATCGGTAACTCATTATCGTCACACAAATGTATGGTTTGAATGTTGAAACTGTTTTTTTCTTTAGTTTACTGTAATCAAAGTATGATTAAAACGGTTTATTAAAGTAGATCAATATTCCATTTGGGAATATCTTGTTCTATTTCTGCGAATAATCGATCCTGATTATTCGCAGAAATAGAACAAGATGACATTTTGTTAATTTATATGTGCTTTTTTTGTTTTGTGTTATATGTGGCAATTTTTTTTAATTGCGTTAAAAAACCAGTGTGCATTTCATATGCGGACGGACAAACGTATGAACACTATTAGCCAAGCGCCTTTGATTTGTGATAAGCGCCAAATGAGCTCTGTACACGTTGGCGCTCTCCTTCACTTGGTCAACTAGGCGAGTGACACCGATGGCAAGGCAAGGCAAATACGCTATCTACACGTTGGTATTGGCCTTCACCCGGCAACATTGGATAAACATGTCATTGTATTGCTGGCTTTAAAAATAATAATGTTTAGTATTAGAATTGTCAGTGGGAAAAAATCGGAAACGAGTGTATAATTTTGTTTTCAGGAACTGAGAATGCCTAGTAAATGAGTATTGTTGAATCTAAATTAAATATTAAATAATTTACCAATAAACCTAATGACGGAATTGCATTATTATGTAATCTAGTTACAATCAAAGTTCTGTTAAAATTTGACTCTTCATTATGATACGAATAAATGACGACAGTCTTCGATCCAATGTTTATATTCGGTAGTCCTATGATTTCCAACCATTCTTTTTCTTTTTTCATTTGTATGTAAACTTGAAATAGTAAAAATAGTAATAATAAAATAGTAAAAACATCTAATTGTTTTAATAACAGAATATTGATAATTTGTACGCTTACAAGAACAACACTATCACAAAACAATCATTAACAACAATATACAAACAAGTAGGCAATCTGAAGTAAAAAAAGCAAAATTTTTATGAATAAACTACTTAAGTAAGTCTAATTACATGAGATATTTGGGCTATTGTGTGAAAAATAACCATGCTTGTGCAAGGTTACATTTGGTTGATTTTCGCTTTTGCTAATGCCACATACCTTAATGCTGCAGCGACGCATTTTTATTAATACCTAATTGCTCTCACTGTCAATATTTTTGTCCATTTTATTACTATCCATGCAAATAATTCAATAAAACACTTGGGAAAACATTTGTCGTGACATTTGATGTCCTTCCCTTTGACAACCGTATCATGTACCTCATGTACTGCGAAATGGACACGGTTGGCATTTAAGATGACGTTACGTATTTATTTTTTAAATGCATTTGCTTTGGAAATTTAAACAAAGTCAGAAATAATAATAAGAAAACCAATCTTTTGATTTTCTTGCAGCTTCAATCCAATCTTCTTTTATTTTGAACTCATTGTGAAACCTTAAAAATACTCTACGTTTAATCTACGAGTATAATGAATATCTAAATTATCTAAAACAATAATACATATACATTTTTCTTCCAGCAACAGACAAACTGATACGATACAAATTGATACGAAATTGAAACGGCTGTCCGAAATATGAGTTGTGTTAAAGTTACTCGAAATGAAATGTTTAGTAATAATAATAATTAAAATAAAAAATGAAAGAAATAAATTTAACATGAATGCTTTTCGCTTCGTCATTTTAGGGACTTTGATTACGAAAATCACAGTAAGAAATTCAAACATTTCAGTAAAAATTAATTGTCAATAAACATCAATCATCGTAAATAAACATCACTATATTTGAGTCTAGAAAATCATTGAAATTTGTCTCCATAGGGAGACAAACAGAAAACAAACGGTGAATAATAATAGAAATAGTAACTTAAAATTTAAATCCCACTGGTTTAAAAATTTTTGTTTTCACTTCAATTTTTACAAGAGATATCGCTACAATTCGGCATTTTCACGTTTTACGAGAGATCTTGTATGTACAACCATTGTCATATCACTGTAGCGATGTTTGAAGGCGTGTAACCTCATTTTGAACATATCGAGGCGATACGAACCACGCCCTCATACCAAATCTCCCATTTTTTTCTACATCTATGGTCTCGTCGCTTGATATCATAAAAGTGAAAATAAAAGTTGAATTGTTTTCTACAAAGAAGTACCTAGTATTTAGCAGTGGGGTTTGTAAACCTTTAATACACGTATTATTGCCTTAAATGAACGTGATTAATGGTTAAATTATTCCAGGTTATCTTTGAAACTTGAACCTCCATCCCCTGTGGGTAGCTGTGCCGGTTCTAAAGAATCTGTCAAAGAGGTGATGCCTCAAGGCAGTTCTACACCTTTCACACTATCGCCATCCCATAGGCTTGGCTCTGGTTCGCTGCGACTTCAGGGAACGTACCATCAAACCAAATTTATACCGACGCATCGAAAGTGTCGTTCTCTAGGATCCAAGTAAGTATAAATTTGAATAGTTTTGGTGAATATTTTTGTTTTGCTAACCCACAATAGATCTTTTGTATTGTCTACTGAAAAATTAATGATCAAATTCACTATTACAAAATTTATAATTAATATTATGTCGTAAAATTCACAGCATCGTTATTTAGAACATTGCTTACTGATTAATTTTTCAGAATATGTGTCCCTTTAATGTTTACTCTACCATTATACTACTTTTCACTTCTTCATTGGAAATTATTTTGAAAGTCAATTCCATTAAATTGGTGTATATTCTTGTAATGACTATCTAGCTGAGACATAATCATGTTTAATGAGTCCTTTGATAAATTATGCACCTATACAGTGTATTTTACCTTTTGCAATCGGTACCTAGGTTTCGTAGTGCGAGCTTGCCAAGAAATTTTCACAAGGTCAATTTTGGTGTGGGGTGAGTCAATTTTTCGGTCGATGCCATACAAAAGCTTGCATTTGATTGGTGTGTAGATCGACATATTGAATATAGGCGTCAAAATCATATCAGCATGCTTTGTACAAGTCTATGAAAACTATCAGGTTAGAACAAGAAGGCATGTTGGAAAACGAATGCCAATACGAATTTAAGAATGTTGCATGAAAAATGATTGCGTATGAGTGTTGATCTCACAATTTCTATAACTGAGTACACATGTAGACAAGAATACGAATTATAATTCAATATGCCTTTTTGGTGAAGTTAGTTAAGAAAGTTAATGACATAAATACTTATACGAAGATTAAAATCATACATGTAAGGTAAGAAGGTAAGGTAAGAAGAGTTTTATTCGTGACGTTCATTAATAATGTAGGAATAGTTAATTATAATGTACGAGCTGCAATTCACTTATTCTCATCATTTAACGTATAAGACGTATGTATAATCACGAATAGATCTACTCTTCGCACGAGTAATTCTTACCTTCTACAACATTCACTACTGATGGACCATGTACATAATTAATTAACATCAGGTGACATAATATATAAGTATTTTTAATGTGTTGCACTATTTTAGCAAGAACATATCGTAGCTGAGCGTTATTCAATCTGCATTTGTGTTTTTCTAACTTATATTCTAGCTTTATATAACTAATGAGAACTGAAGAATTAAGCATAATGCATAATTGTGATTTAACAAATTTTGTCCGTAAATTGTAACAGTGGGGTTGAGTTGTAACAATAAATTTTCATTGGGATTTTTTGACTATACATTTATATAAAGGGCATCCCAATGCTATGAGACACTGAGGGCAAGTACTTTAAGTATTGTAGACAGAATATTTTTCTTCATGGTGACATTATTTTATTTTTTAAAGTAGGTAATACTGCATTTAAAGACTAAAAAATTGCTTGCTTCATTTGGAAATCAAACCAACCTAATGTGAAACAAATCTTATATTCTTATGATGCTAACCGAAAGGATTAATAATATAGATTAATTACTGTATAAGTAGAAAGCCGAAGTATTTTAAAGGAATTCTAATGGCCCTAACCTTCAACAATTTAATTTCTTAGTTTTCGTTTCGGGACCTGTAAAGGGCCCGAAACGTCGGTTTGTTTGAAAAAACAAATATTCGCGATTTAAATCCGGAAAAATAGTTTCATTTCCTAATATTTAGTGGTTTTAACCGCTGTATGCCACTCCTTGTATGTATTTGTAGACATTTATTACACGTTTGGGCCATCCTATTCCGATCATTGCTTATAAGACTCATGACTCTTTCGGTCGGCATCATAAAAATACAATTTTTTTTTCGCATTTGGTCGGTTTGATTCTCAGATGAGGCAAATAACTTTTTTAAAGTTTTTGAATGCAGTATTACTTCTAAAAATGAAATAATGACTTCATGAAGCGAAATCCTATCTGCAATATGTAATGTACTGTCCCTCCATGTCCCATAGTCATGCCACATCCTGTATAGAAGGCGCTAATTCCTACGTATTCCTATGAAATTATTATCAAATAGCTCCTTGTAACATTTCATTATATAGTTAAACTAAGCATAGGTTACTGGTAAGAGCGTAAAGACTTTTACATAACGCAGTGTAATTTAATATTCAATTATGCAACTAAATTAAGGGTAGGTAGGTAATAGTGAACGTGGGAAAGTGGTAGGTCTACAAAAATCAATACGCTTGTGTGTCATGGTGTGACTATTCATGTCTATACCGGGAGTATACGAAGTAATCGAGAAACTTATTACAAAAGACAAATATAATTGGGCTAATAAATTAGTTTAGTAACAGCAGAAGCCCAGGGAAGTACTGCTACCTTACCTATTTTTGCCGCCAAGCAGAAATGTGAGCATTATTGCGTTCTGATTTATAACGATAAGGGTCCTGGTGAAATTATATGTCCATGGAACTTATCAACTCAACTCAGGGTTCGGTCTCAGTGGCAATGCTCCTCAGATCTGTGTGACTTAAAGCTCCGATTGGTACTGGACAGGCGTTACCACCAGGTGCACGACTCGTTCGTCCCTTTACTTGGTATCATAAAAAAAATGGCATCAAACTTGTAGGCCGAATTTTGAATTCCGAAGGCGAATCAATTGCAAGACATAGGAATCGAATAACGGAGTTAAAATGGAGCAGGCCTGGACATATTCTGAAGGGTGGTGATGACAGGAGGAGGAAGACGATGACCGAAAAATAGTTAAGCGGTTATAGAAACATCATACAGAGACATCATATCTTCGGTATCATCAAAGTCGCAGGCCGTAATTGAATGAGACTAAACATACAAAATTAAGGACTATTGTTCTTTATTAGTAAATAAATTAACCAGGTAAATGAACGTATTTGAGTACCAAATCAGGAGTTACAGTAGTTACGCTATGATGGCCGTTTTGACAGATTACAATAGTGAGGTCAAATTTGAAATCATTATCGAAAAAATATAATCATAATTTTAAGTAAGTAGAAATCTTAGAATAATAACGCACAGAATGATAGTTTCATAATAAACGAACTGTCACAAGTGAGGCAAAAATCAAATTCATGTAGGCGTAAGCTACTTGTATTTACGCTCGTCGGCACGCACACAAATATACAAATAATGATGCCATGGAATAACATTTCCCTCAAAAGTGGGGAAATTGTATGTTGCTTAACTCATCGTTAAGTTAGAGGTGCCTACAGATTTGCTCGATTTTGTCGATCGTTACTGTCGATCAGGTGCCTATAGAGATGCTCGATTTTGTCGATCGTACTGTTGATCGACAACGTCAAGTGACAGGAATTTTCAAAAATTTATTTTTGGTAATCCTTATGGAAATAACATTTATATCTGAATACACGAAGGCGGACACGACTTTTCTCATTTCTAAATCCAAGATGGCGGACACGTCTTTTCAAATAAATGCAAAATGGGAATCGTTTTCGAGGTATTCGAGGTGCTCATCACGAATATGGCATTTATTTCTAAATCCAAGATGGCGGACACGACTTGAAATAAATGCAATATGGGTATCATTTTCGAGGTATTTGGGGGTGCTCATTACGAATATGGCACTCATTTCTAAATCCAAGATGGCGGGCACGATTTTTCATATAATGGCAAGTTGGGGATCGTTTTCGAGGTATTTGGGGGCGCTCATTAAGAACATGGCACTAATTTCTAAATCCAAGATGGCGGGCACGATTTTTCGAATAATGGCAAGTTGGGTGTCGTTTTCAAGTTATTTGGGGCTGCTCATTCCGAATATAGCACATATTTCTAAATTCAAGATGGCGAAGAATTAGAAGTCTTGTCCTCCATCTTGTATTCAGATATACATGCCATTTCCTTATGGTTTACCAAAATACATTTTTGAAAATTGTTGTCAACCATCTTGGATTTAGAAATTAATGCTACATTCGTAATAGAATAGAATAGAGTAGAATAGAACAGAATAGAATAGAGTAGAATAGAATAGAATAGAGTAGAATAGAATAGAATAGAATAGAATAGAATAGAATAGAATAGAATAGAATGGAATTGTTTATTTCATGTTATCAATGTCACAATATTGCAATTGGAAATACAATGTCAAGGGATAACTATGATCGTCAGTAATAAAATTATAATAATAATAATGAATATAAAATAAAGTAGTATAACTACTGCTTGTCGAATAAAATAAAATTAAAATTGTTTCAAAAGAAACTCATCGACACTGTACAATTGAATATCCACTCTAAAACACAATAAGCACTCTAAAACTCATCGAAAACGTCTATAATTCTCAATCGTTACTGTCGATCGACAATGTCGAGCAAATCTGTAGGCACCGTATTAAATACTACCCAATTTTTATTTAACTCATATATGAACAAAAACCTGCAAGCGAGTTTAAGTGCGACTATCGAGTTTGAATATATAAATAGCCTGATATTATCTGTGGGTATGTTTACATGAAAAGTACACGATAACAATAAAGAACCTGAACTTGAAAGTTGTTTATACACGATTTTGGAGAACTGACGATGACTTTTTAGTCAGTGTTAGTTTCCTGAAATAACTTTAATTAAGAAGTTTTGCGTCTGGGCAAGACAATTTTTTTAAATGAGTGTATGAAGAACAAGAATAATGATTTTTCACATGAAACTAATGAAGGCAAATACTAAACATATTTCGTAAAAATAGCTAACGTAAATTCCCTACAATGTAGTTGTGGCGGTGTACATATGTAGAAATTTTGCAACGGTCGCGTTATTGCCTATTCTCAAAAAATTACGTAATATAATTATTTTGAAACAGAATAGCAAAATGGGGAGAAAAAACCCGTTACTTTGCAACATTTTCGTATCTTGTTGCAACGAAATTAATTTTCTGTTTTAGTGAATATTTACATAAAAATACAAGTTGAAACGCGTTACTTCCTTGTGGAATGTGATGTTAATGTCTATTTTATATTTGTCTGATCTATTTTTAAATCCAATTACCGCACATTTCGTCATTTTTAGCAAAAGTTTTTGAGCTGTTCGCGGTGCAACTTGACCTTGAGCACTGACTGCCCGCTCGCTCGTGTAGGCCCATAGGGCGTCCTACAATTTGCCTCACTTAGCGTGTGCGGGCTAGGTTTCTATGCGTTATTATTCTAAGGTAGAAATATAATCATAAGTTTTTAGATTTATGACTAGTATTGCAAGGGGTAGCTGATTAAAAAGTTTTAATAAAACGAAAATAAGAATGTTTATGTTTGAACTTAATATGTCGTCAATTCGAAACTGCTTTGTTTTGCATTGAGCTTTGACGCGAGTTTGCCGGAGATAGAAGTTGTGTTGGCCAGCGATCCCATTTAGTGACGATCGTATTAGATTTCATTTTTTAAAATTTCGAAAATCGAAAAACAAATGCCTAGTTGTGTGGTAAAATTATAAATTTAATAAATTTTACTGCACGTCACTATTGACAACAACATACAGCAATTAGCTCCTTCAACGTAGTTATGAATTAATACGAAACTTGATGAGTGGATAAACGTCATAAAGGCCATCATAGAGTGCCGGTACTTTAATAACAATTTTATAACAAACCAAAATATTTGTGTTTAAACTTGTAGTGTCATTAGTTATTGTTTTATTGTAGCACAAGACTAAAAAACTTCGAGATGGATGCTTATACGTATTGTTTAAATTATTGTTATTATTTTGGGCACGGATCTTGGGGACTTGACACGTTCATTATATTAATGTTAGTATTATAACGTACATAAGCAAAAAAGACCGGTAAATGTGTGTCCAAGCACATACAACCCGAATACATTCAAGGTGCGATACAATCAGTATCTTCTGAGAGATCTCGTTCCCTCGTAGACCCTAATTTTTGCTTCAACGCTAGGTAGTGGTCAAGAACAATACGACTTAGTTAAAAAAACATGGAAAGCATCTAAAGTAATTTACGAGGAAGACTCCAATTTAAACCAATTAAATTAATTCCTAATCTAATTACAACTGATTGCGATCTGTTGTAATCAGATAATTGATGTAACAAATGGTTTCATAAAATTACATTTAGTCTAAAAACTAGGTTTTACGAGTTTTGCAATATCGCGACGTGCCATCTGGTTGCTACGCATGTTCATACTTGTATTGCATTATGTATTGCGTTCCAAGCGTAAGCGCCCAGTTACACGAGGAGAAAGTTTCTGCGCGGCGACCCCCCACTTACCACGCCTTCCACGGCCAAATTCAAGCCAGCATCGCCTGCGTGTCCGGGACACTCGTTTAAGTTAAAAGGTGAAAGCTAAACAAATAGAGTATATTTTGCCATGACAGTTAGATACACGCGGTCGCTGCACGGCGGCAACGCGGACTCCGTTCGGCGACTGCGTGGCGGCCGCGCAGCGTGTGCGCGATGAAATTTTAGTCTAAAACTAGGTTTCACGAGTTTTGCAATATTCAAATTCGTATTGCGTTCAAAACGTACGATGTCACCACATGTCTCTCCACGGAATCGCATTAAGCTGGACAGAAAAACCTGAAACGTTATGTCCATGTAATAAGAGCGAAAAAGTCGTGTGTTTCACGTTCGTCGTGAGACGGTACTATTACATGGACGTAAGGCTTTTTCAGATCGCCTCAACCCGATTCCTCTGGTGCCTTATTAAGACTTCGCTTAGTAACTGATACGAGTTCTTTATAACAAATATATGAAAACCTAGTTGTATATTTAGTTCCGAGAGATGCCGGGTTCAATACCTGTTAGAATCAATTAGTAAAGATTTCTAGTTTGATACTGGTTGTAGTGTTCTGGGTAGTTTTATTTGCTACTTCATCATAGTAAAATAAGAGTAAGTATGGTAACCGCGCACAGTGTGTTATCTTACCTTAGTTGCGGACATCCTCGTTTTATGTGTTTTTTAGAAAGATAATATCCAAACAAAATTCGTAATAAAACTCCACGCTGTATCTATCACAGTTTTAGAGAAATTTAGAAAATCGAGAAAAATCCATAAAAACCATAAAATCAGATTATTTCCTTTCCGTAAGTGATTTTTCTTTAAATATTTCATGTTATGATAGAAATTTACTAAAAGCACCAATAAATCCAAAAAATAAAAAAAATCAAGCTTTCCTAGACCACAATTTTTTTTTCTTCTATGAGTTAGTTTTTTTGTTCTGAAGCATTTCTACATATTTTATTAGCATTTAGCATAACCCGCTATTGGTTCACGTAATCGGGTATAAATTTATACATTTTGTGAGATCCCTATTTCCATAGAAATCTTAAAAAAAACCTTAGAAACGCGGTGTCTCTGAGATCTTCCGAGATAAACGTTTACTTTTTCTTTATTCGATAGATACATTAACGTAGTACATTTTGAAGGTAAGAAAATGCTAATTTAGTATGGTTAATTTTATTTAAAAATATTTTTAAAATTAACAAAATATTTTTTTCTTCCTTTTTTGTGGGCTTAAGGAACTTACGATTTTCACATTTAATAAAGTTTAAATAGACAGTCAATTTGGATTTTTTTCAAATGGAAGTTTCACATATTTCGGGAAATAGAGGCAAAAACATTTTTCTTGAAGTTCAGTAACCTTTTGAAAAAAAAAATTATATCTCCACTATAAAAGTAAATATCTAAACGGGTGTTTCTTAGTTCAATTTATTAGGATTACACCTATTGAAATCGAACATAAAACGAGGATGTCCGCAAGTAAAGTAAAATAACACATTGTGCCGCGGGCCGTGTGCGGCCGCATTCGTATAATAATATAAAAAAATATTTAAAAAAATAACTTTATTGTAAAATGCAGAAAAATAGGTACAGAGATGTGCCTACCTCCCATACTAGGTCGGTGCGGTAGCTAAGTCTTACGTCCGTCAAGTGTGTTGCCTCAAAATACCGTTAACTACAATAAACTTATAAAATATGATTGGTAGAACACGAAAAAGAGCTGGTTACCTTTAATTTTGGTACATTAATACATTTTTTACATTGTCCAGTATAGTTCCTGTGTTTATAAACAACAAAACAAAAGGCCAACTTCGGTCCCAACAATGAAACGATCAGTGTTATGCAACACAAGTGCGAATGTGTGTCCGTCTACGGCGCGCGGCGGGCGTGCACACATATAAGCGCGCGACTAATATAAGCGCGCGACTACGTTTGTGTGGAGTTATAGTAACTTGTCTTATTATACTTGTTTGACTAAGTTCATAGTAAATAAATAAATAGACAGTATAGAGAATTAACTAGTTTGAGATGTTTAGCACATTCTGTTAACAAAAAAAATCAAATTACTTGAGTAGGTAAGTTAAAGAAAGTATGATTATGTCTGAGTTCTCCAAATTAAATTTAAACATTTCTACTTGCTTGCATGTTATGGGCTTACATAGTTCATGCATTGAAGTCACTTATACATACCAAAGGCTTTGCAGCTTATGTAATTTCCACCTGTGTGAATGTTTTGCGCTAGTACATAGATGTCGTTGCACCGAATAAAGTTATTAAAAACTATAGCTTCACATTTTATTTCAATCGTATTATGTGGAGTATTGTTTTAGTATTAATGCATTCATAAAAACAAAATTGTTACTCTTCGTTTAATATAGTTATACATGCATTAAAAGTATAGACTGCGGTTTATATTGTTCTTTATAAAATATATAATTCTAATTTAAAAAAAATCCTGTGTAAATGTAATATTTTTCTATTCCCCACAAATCTGCAGTAAAGGCCTGGAAGTAAATAAAATTTCCCGAAGCGTTAACTCCAGCTCGTCTCGAGCATGCTTCTTTTTATCTACGATTATGGATGGGTATTTCCTCTTTGCCAAGCAATGATTTTCATTATCTTACTAGTGAGTACAACAAACAACAATAAAATTTACATTTATTTTGCATAAAATAAATGAATGTCATGATAGTAAAACATCATAATATTAATTACAATCAATATTACAATTTAAAAAGCGACATCTCTTGTCAACCTTTGGAAGCTGTGGAGGTTGAGTGGCTACGGCAAAAAAGTCGGTAAAACCAAAAAACAAAGATCTGTAACAAACACAGATTATTAGTAAGGTCTGACTCGATCTGTAGCTCAGTTGGTAGAACGATCGCAGTTGGTATAGCGGTCGTCTTGATGTGGCACAGACGCAAGTTCGAGGCCTGTCAGATCGAAGGACTTTTTCTTTGAGTTCGGTCTTTGTATTAATAATTATAACAAACGAGTGGAGTAATTCCACAAAACATAAATGAATATCATTAATTACAATCAATATTAAAAATGTCTAAATATTAAAAAAAAATATTAAAAAATCTACAATACTCACTAGTAAGCCTCAAGTATTCTAGTTAAAGTAAAACCGCTCTTAAATACTTTGGTGACATGTCGTAATTTTAATTTCTTGGTTTTTTCGGGGAAATTAAACTACTCTCCAACGTTAAAAGCTAAAGAGAGGTGCATTGTCGTTTTTTACTCAATAAAGCTTTTACGATATAGAATTCAAATAAATGTAGTATACGATTAAATAGTAGAATAGATTTTTGGAGATCCTTGAGCAACTTATTCTTAAATTTGATAAATTAATTGGTAAATTATGCAATAGGAAAACGTATGTGTTAACAATTTCAAGTCACTTTGGCTTGTTTAAATTTGTTGTAATATAAACTAAGTTCCTTATACTTAGTAAAACTGTATTTAGCAAAGCATCCCATCCTTTTATGAGATACGCGCGGTGTGTTTGGTGACAACACTTGTCGCCAAGCGCATTCTGCGTAGATTAATGCGTATGCATAGTAGATATGAGTGCAAGCTCTAAACCCACTTAGAATGTAAAAAGGGGTTCAGTAGTTCGGATCTAAATAGCGTATAACTGTTTTTTCAAACAGACCAATGTTTCAGGCCCTTTACAGGTCATGGCTGACTGAGATGGTGAAGTCATCGACTATACCTACATAAACAAACCCATAGATTTAGTAAATAGTTACCCATATTCTAAATCTATGAACAAACCAGTGTTTCGGTCACTTTTCTGATAGAAAATGCTAAAATGCCAAACAGACATGGCAGATGAGACTGAAACATTAATAAATACGTGTTAATTTATTTCTAATTTCCTATTCATGAATATATTAAATTTACGAAAAATTCATTTTGTTTAAAAGAAATGTACTTTGGAAAATTAAAAATAAGGTATTGAAATTAATAATAACCTTTGTAACTGTGGTGGAAAATAGAGTGGCTTGCATTAATATTAGTCGTAACTATTTGATGACTTTACAATCTCGTTTGTTTTTTTTTTTGTTCAAAAAAGAATTAAATGCTATTTAGATCCGTATAAACGTCTAACAATCGCGAAAACCTAAAACTCGTTAAGTTTTAACTAACGTAAAATTATAACGAACGGCGTATTGCAGTATATTTGGCAAAAGCAATACCGATGATAGAATGGACGAGAAGACGCCGGCTGGCTCGGTGAACTTGCTCGACGACACGCTTTTGGAGTCTCCGACCTCAGTCCCAGGCGACAAAATGTCACAGTCTTTACCTCATACGTAAGAAATTTTCATTTATACCTGATAAAATTTATTATTCTTATTGATATTATTCATAATAATAAGCAAATTGTAAGAACGCTTTACGATATCAATTTGTAGTGACCCATATAAAGCGGACAACGAAGGTTTCGAGTACGAGGGATTTGTTAGAAGGAAAACCATTCTAAAAGATGGCAGAAAAATATCTCTCTCATCGTGGCAAAGATATTGGCTGCAAATATCGGGAAAGATTTTAGTTTTCTTCGCTTCCAAGTCCTTTAAAGGGTAAGTTGTACTTTATATCCTGTTTTTTTTTTACTTGTATTAGGTCCAAAATAACTTAAAAAACAATATATATCGTCTATGGGACCACCGTTGGTTTTGCCTCTTATAATAATTAGCTTTGATCAAGTAGCAGTATGACAACGATAACCAAAACATTTTTACGTCGTATGGTTGCTTTATTTAGCAAATAACTTTACAGCCAAGTAATAAAAAAAGCACACTATGGCGTTTTCTATAAGCATGATAGATTTCCATTGAATCGTTCTTCCTGAGTACCCATGGTTAGTTTCTTAGGCTATAAATGAGATTATTTTGCATGATGTATGTGTAATATTTATAATGTGTAATATTATAAATCCTGAAAAAGAATGTTATTCCCACGATTTCAATTGACTTTTGTACTTACTAAAAATCCTAAGTTTTCCATATAGCATATGCGCTAGAAATGCCAACGTAGTGTATTTACGAGGGGAGGTCCAAAAGTCCGCGGAATAGAGGGGTTGTAAATAATATAAAACAATAAGGCTATTTTTCTTTTTCAATATAATTACCTTTGAGCTCAATACATTTTTTAGATCTCGAAATTAGCTTTTCTATGCCATCGAGAAAAGATTTTTTCTCTTTGCTCTCAAAATGAGCTAAAGTTGCTGCCTTAACCTCTTCATCGTCGCGAAATCTTTTCCCACGTAATTCTTTTTTCAAATTTGGGAACAAATAATAATCCCTGGGGGCTAGGTCCGGGCTGTAAGGTGGGTGGGTCAGCGATTGAAAGCCACACTTGTGTAGAGCAGCCATCGCAACATTGCTCTTGTGAACCGGTGCGTTGTCTTGCAAAAGCAACACACCCTTTGTCCATTTTCCCCGCCTTTTTTCTTTGACAGCTTCCTTCAGTCTCTCTAATGTTCTTGCGTAATATTCTCCCGTTATATTGACCCCCTTTTCTTTGTAGTCAACCAATAAAATTCCTTCACAATCCCAAAAAACCGTAGCCATGATTTTTCCAGCCGATTCTGACACCTTAAACTTCTTAGGGGGTGGTGTACCCTTTTTATGCCATTGCATTGACTCCTGTTTGGACTCGGGCTCAAAGTGATGAACCCAAGTTTCATCTCCAGTAACAATTTGCTCCAAAATTGGGGTAGGTTCTGCGCCACACAGCTCCAAGAAGTGCTTTGATGCATCGATTCTTTGTTGCTTTTGAGGCGGCGTGAGCATTCTCGGCACCCATCTTGCACTGACTTTCGTCATGCCAAGATGATCGTGTAGGATCCTCAAAATGGTAGTGTTTGATACTCCTACTAATGCAGACAGATGTTTCTTCTTCAGACGGGCATCTTCCAATATAAATTTTTCGATTTTATCAACATTGTCTGATGTGGTGGCCTCAACTGGCTGTCCTGGGCGAGGATCGTGTTCAATTGATTCTCTGCCATGTTTGAAAAGACCGTGCCAATTGTAAATCATTGTTTTACCAGGGCACTGATCCCCATAAACAGTTTCCATCTCATTCATAATGGTTTGAGGAGGTTTTCCTTGCTTGGTAAGGAATTTGATGACAGCACGAAACTCGATTTGCTCCATATTTGCAGTTTTCTTCCGGATTTACTTGTTTGTAGGGCGATATCTCGTAAACTAATGAAGTTAAAATGGTGAAGCTTGATATATATACCCCTAATGAGTATCTGATTAGTACCACATCAAGCAAGTGTAATTAGCGGGCTCCCGCCCCCTCCATTCCGCGGACTTTTGGACCTCCCCTCGTATAAAGGTCCAATCGTGATCTTAGTATTGTTAATTATCCTGGAGATGAAGACACATCTTTTTTAAGTCTTCAATGGCCTCTTAGTATCTGGGCGTGGCGATTTTTTTTTTTAGACAACATCACATACGTTGCTCTGATCCCAAAGTAAGTCGCTAAAGCACTTGTATTATAGAAATCGGAAACAACGTCGGTACCACAAACGCCCAGACCCGAGACAATATAGAAAAATTAGTTTTCTGCACTGACCCGGTCGGAGATCGAACCTGGGACCGCAGAGATGGCGACACCATGAAAACCGGTGGGCAAGCCACTCGACCACGGAGGCCATCGTCGGCGATTATAGATTACTCTATATAAATTACTAATTGTATAACAAATGAAGTTAGTTATATTTATTGTTCTCGCTCTGGCGAAAGCCAAACTTGGTACAGTCTTATCCTCCGCTTATTTAAATGCTATAAACTAAATTCCTCTTAGCACTTAGTTTAGTTTTAATAATTGTATATTTAAGCACACATTGACGAGTACATTCATCAGGCTTCCATTTTACCGTTGTATTGTTTTACGAGAGAAATTGAGACTCGTTTCTTGAATATTTCAACAGTTAAATATTTGGTCATTTAGTGATTGTACGTAAATCAATTAGTTTTCTACGTAACTTTAAAAGAAATGAAATATGTAAGTAAAATTCACATGACGATGGATTTTCAGTGGATTCAAATTGATACAGATACATCATAGCACATGTAAAGCAACATTCCGTACATGTAATATGTTAATCATGTTCAGGACCAATCGATCGGATTTCCGAATGGAACGCTGCAAATTATTGCCTCTCGACGGCTGGCAGGCCCTCAGCGTAGATGGCGATGCGGCAGATGCCTTCCAACTTGTCAACCACACTTCGGGCACTATTTATAAATTTAAGTAAGTGTTTTATCAGAATTTTCTTTTTGACATCTACAAGATTGGCAAAAAACCCATGTTAAAGTATAATTGAAAATTTATAAAATAAATATCAAATATTACTCAATTATGTATTAGCAATGTTGATTAACAATATTTTGCCGTCTTTCGGGTCATTTTAGAATTATACTTTCGTAAAAAATCCTCTTATAAAACATATATAAATATATACATCACAAAACTCAACGATAATCTGAGAACAGGATGTTGCTTAGTTTGTAACAACCCAGAAAAAAAATATTTGAAAACTCGGAGTCATGTTTTTTGTGATATAATTTATTTAGATTAATTTCATTTTAATGAAAAATGTACGACCTGTATGGTGTACAGGTTGTACAGGTGTAAGTACTGCAAATACAAATTTTGCTGTTCAGTTTTTGTAACGGTAACCTAAATAGCTCGGCTAATGAACACAATGCCAAAGAAAACTCGAATTGCTAAAGTTTCAGCACAAAAAATAGTGTATTTAATTTTTTTTCTTCAAATTTTTAACAGATTCTTTTTTCTTTGACTTTGACACCCCATACTGTAAAAAAATGTACCTAGACTACCATGGCAACTTCTTACAAAAATTGGCGCAACTAATCAAGATTCTAAAATGGTATAAAACCTACTACGTCATGCTTCTTGGAAAAAAAATTTGGTTTTTCTAAAAAGAGGACAATTTAAAAAGGTTACGTTTTCTGAAAGTGGCTTTCAGTGCCTCTAAGGTTATGGCAACGCCTTAAAAATTACCTGTTCACCAATCGTGCATATCGTCGTAAATTTATTTGTTGTACAGCTTCCGTGATTCTTCGTCGTAATTCGGCAACGTTTGGTATCGGTTTTGCATAAACTTTTTCTTTCAGACAATCTCAGTAAAAAAGTCTAGGGTGTTCTAATCTGGAGAACGGGGTGGCCACAAATTTGGACCAAGGCGCGCAATCCATCGACCTGCGTACTCTTCATTGAGATATTCTACTGGACAATGGATAATGGGCAGGACACCCGTCATGTTGATACCACATTTCGCAATATGCTAAGTGACAAGTCTTTCAGTAGATCTGACACCCGGTTCTCCAGATTTGAACCCCCTAGACTTTTTTACTGGGGTTGTCTGAAAGAGAAATATTATGCAAAACCAATATAAAACATTGCCGAATTACGACGACGAATCACGGAAGCTGTACAACAGACAAATTTACGACGATATGCACGATTGGTAAAATAGTAGATTGTACAACAAGTGCATAAAACGCCTCATTTTACCCGAGACGAGTGTATCCATCCACCCGAGCCGCAGGCGAGCCTCATTTTATCCTCGACTTAAGTATCCAGACTCGGATACTTAAGTTGAGGGTAAAATGAGTTTTATGAACGAGTTATACACTCTGCTTTTCACTTCGATTGCGAGGAAATTAAACAGCAGTATTATAAATAAACGATAACAACTATTGCCAGGAAAAAATAAGAACTTTCCGCCAATGTACTACTTTTTTTTTTCTACACGTGACTCAGGTCGGACTACATATTGCTCAGTTATATTTTACAAGCTTTTATTTTTTATGTATTTCTATTTCTTATAACTTATTAGAATTATTATTGCCTACTTTTTCATTTTGTAACAAAACACGGATTAAAAAAACAAAAGTAAAACGTTATTTTATAAAGTTCTAGTGTGCGTGGCTGTTGGCGCAGGCGTCATTGCCTCGGTCTTAAACCGACGATTTTATTTTATGCAGCCCAGCATAAATACGAACTTTAAGAGCATGAGAATTGAAAAGGTCATTATTAAGGCACTGTCGTATCTTAGAATTATTATAAAATAAATCTTATTATGTACTTTATATAATTATATATATTCTAGTCTATTTGGGTTACCGTTACAAAAAGTAGAACAGCAAAATTAAAAAAAAATTAATTGTAGTACCTAAAAATGGTGTACAGGGCGTACATTTACAACATTTTTCATTAAAATGCTTATGTCACAAAAAAACACGACTCCGATTTTTTAAATACTTTTTTTCTGGGTTTGTTACAAACTAGGCAACATCCCGTTCCCAGGGTATCGTTGAGTTTTGGGACATATATACAGGATACATACAATACATATATTACGCACACACACATATAAACTCATGGTAAATTTCAAATTAAATTTCGTACATCAATTATGTGCAAGCTGCATTGAAGAACCCATGAACCACTGCTTGAGAGGCAGCAGGTCAAACCATTAGGCTACTACGGTTTTTTTTTACAACAATTTAGAAGTTGGCGCTGTTTTACAAATGACTTACGCACTAACTTCAACAAAGAGTTTTGATTAAGCTGAAGCCTTGTGGCGCATTTACACCAAGTCATCAGGCGACTCCCGCTTGCCCGTCGAAGGCGGCTATCTACCTGGTGTAAATAGTGAGTCAACTGACGACATTAGTTTGCAACCTATGTCGACCGAAGCGACTGGATGCATGGCGAATTTTCATCGAGTCGTTTGCAGACTACTTCGCCTTGCCGAAGGCGGTAGACGACTTCGACCTGCCAAAGACGACGCAGTAGTCTGTTGAAGGTCGGCAGTCGACCCGGTGTAAATGCGCCATAACTCTTCACGAGTTTACAATTTTTTCTATAAAACACTATTTTTAGGACTGGATCTGAAGATGCAGCGAAGAAATGGGTGTCGAAAATCGAAAGCGTTACGAACAAAACTGTGAAACCTCTACCAGCCAACCTCATGTCATTCGAGTGAGACGACTCACGTATGTATCATAGTGATCTGATATTAGAAACCTCTCGAACAAATTTCATTGTATACACTGTAATGAATAATGGACTGTGGAATTTTAAGTTAATTATTTTATTGATTTAGTCAGGTAGCTTTAGGCGTGTGTGTATTCTGTTTACTTATTGACGCTTGGTTTCGTTGGTGTGGATATCCCGGTAAACTTTTATATTAATTTTAAATACTCATATCGCAGGAATACAATTTGTATTAGTTTTAAAAATGTACTGAAGACATAGGGCATAAGCTACGAAATTGTCGTTGTTGAATAAAAAAAACGACTACAATTCATGATGAAAATAACACGAAATTTTAATGTAAATAATATTCTACGATTTCGAGCTTACATTCTTTGAAAGCGACCTAAAGTGGGGATTAATACATTGAACGTTCTTGAAAGTGCAGTAATAAAAAGTTAATGTTACATTTTGTGCTGTAAATATTTTGAAATATTTACAACTGAAGATCTGCTGCTGTTGTTAAAAAGGAAAACAAATGTCACTTCTCTTGTTTCCCAAAACAATATTATTATTGCACTAATCTAGAAGTAATTGTATGTTTTGAAATGTCGTCTCAGATTTTCATTGCGAATAATATTTTTATTTGGTGCTTTTGGATAATGCAAATTTTTGTTTGTTTCAAAATGCAGCCGATAAACTAACGAAGTACATTTAAGTTTGTCTGGTGCTATGTATTATAGTTATTTAGCGTAACTATTACGTGATAATAAATATAGCAACTTCGTAAAGCTATGTACCTACTTCTAGATATTAAATAGGACACAAAACCTATTGCTCTCTAAAAATGTTTGCTTTAAATTGACTATAATTCGAATATAGGTAAGTTCAATTACTCGTTTACTGGAGTCACATTTATGGATTATTTGTTAATTTTATGTCGTTCACATCAAAGGAACACGCGGGGTTCGTTTTCTATAAACGCCCCGCAAAGTTGAATTATATTTAAGTACTTATTTATTGCTATTTTTATGTTCAGTGTTATATCTTTTGACTGAAATAATGATGATAAAGTAAAACTATTCTTGAAAATTAGTCAATAGCTTGCAGCTGTGCTATTCGGCGATCAATCAGTCGCAATTTCCTGGGAAAGTTAGGATATGCTTGTCTTGGAAGAAAGAAGGAATAGTTAAAAGAAATTGAAAGAATATTAAAGGATGTCGAGTCGTTGTTATAAAGAAGTCTCACTTTTTATTAGTGTCATGGTAATATTTGACAAATCTTTACTTAATACTCGAATAGGTGTGTCACCGACTATTACGATTTGAAAGATTTTTCCAACAGCGTTTGACGTGTTGTTAGCGTTACCCGACGGATATCTTTATTCATGGACCCCGCTTTCGTCGGGTGGCAAAAATTCCGGGTGACAAATATTCCGAAAATAATTCAGTTGAACTTAGTAACAATAGTTGCTACTTTTACAATTACATTATATTTGAGGCTATCAGCGCAAAAGTTATGTGACCCACATTTAATTTGTTTTCTACAAATTACTTTAAATGACACTAAAGTATGTAATTATTTTATATGTATATGCTATTATCATCTTTAAAAAAAATTATCATAACACGTTCGTCACTGCGTTGGGTCACAATGACTGGCTCCTGATCTACCTATTGGGGTCGTAGGGGGTCAAAATTACCAGTACGATATACCTAAGTTACTGATGCGAACGTATTTAGCCATACAATGTCTGTTACCACTTGGTTTTAGGCATTTTTGATGGCTTTTCGAGACTTAAAGGAAAGAAGCATATTTCGAATAAAAAAAATTACTTTAATTCCAAATTGAATGTAAAAGTTACAAAGTTAGAAAAAAAATGTGGAATGTCAATCTAAAATGAAAGAAGTATGTCAGTTTTAGGTAAACATCGATCGAAGATTACGTTTACTCTACCGTACTCCTCCCGGCATTGTGCCCGGCGCGGCCTAAACATAATAATTATTCTCTTTAGGCCGCACGGGTTGAAATGCCCGGCACTAAAAAATTCTAAAATAAAGCCAAATAATGAAATATCGCGAAAAAACATACATTAACAAATGAGACCAAAAGCCGTTAAATACGCCAATGTCATTTTTTGAACATTTTTGAACATTCTAGTCGGCGGCGAACGTGTTAAATATTTTTTATACATACAAATAGCATCCAAATATAAGATAATTATGTATTAGCATCATTTAAAGTAATAGAAAAAAAATAATGTGTTGTTTCAGCAATTTAGTGCTGATAGCCTCATTTGTCTATGTACTTATGAATAACTAGAAATAATAGACAGTAGTAGTAGTAGTAGAATCGTCTTTTATTTCTAGTTATTTTGTTGGTTAACAGCACTGTCTGCAAACGTTATTCGTCAATGAGACTACACGCTAAACGCTGATATTTTATTTTACTATTATACTTCAGAGGCTACGTTTATATATTTCCGACGGCAGCAGGATCAATAAGTCAGTAGTAAACGAGATTTGATCAAATGGGAATGTGTCAACAAAATAATAAATCACGTAGCAGCTCTAGAGATTTCAATTTGTCGTATAAATGTAACGGTTTTGCTCAAAAAATCTCAAACTATCTTTATTATTTAGGAAAACAAATTTGAAATCGTCAAATTCTTTACACTCACTTTTGACGCAGATTCCCTTGAGACGAACAAAGAAGAGACTGTAGATTGCTGTTTTGTAAATAGGTTTTTGTTCACATTTATTATGAAGAATATTTTTGCAACATGTGTAGAAGCAACTTAAAAAGAAGCTTCCCCGTTCCGAAGCATTCCCGTGGATTTTTGTTGTCCAAGTAGGTTATCCAAGACATATACTAATCATTTGTTAAATGATGTTTAAACCTCGTAAAATGTAAATTCTGATTATGAAAAGGAATCTTGTTATAAAAATGTAAATGGCCAAAGAATTTTATTATAAAAACGTAAACGGCCCCTTAAATGTATTTGTGAAGACGATTGTCAAGAAAAGCTAGTTTATATTATTACTTGATCGTTTTCGTTGCCGGGAGATTCAGTTCGCTCTACAATTTCTATTGCATTCTCTGCCGTCTGATATTTCTAAATATTAACATCATTGCAGGAAAGCGTCTATTAAATAGTCTGACGGATTTTACGAATCATTTATCAATTTCTTGTAAATCACTCAATAATATGGAGTAATTTTTTGAACATAGAATTTTGTTTTAAAACCGGCGTATCTGAAAAAAGACTTATAATACTGACAGGAAATTTTTAACATAGAGTTTATTTCTATGTTTTATATCTCCAGACCTCTAGAATACTCTTATAAATTCAAAACATATCACTGGTATATTTTTATATAAGTACTTACGTGTATTGTGGCCTATGTAAATAACTGCTTTGTTTCTCATGTTTAGCAATGAATTGGAGTGATGTAGCTCCTAAATAAGTTGCGATGGGAGTTATTTTAGAGGATCATATTATGGATATGTATATCCATAATAAATATGTATATAAATATAATAATAGATGATCCGATTCTGTTGATACTCTATAAATTGTTATAGATTTCTGTTTGCAATTTTTTTCAATATTTTCTACTGAATAGAAATCGCACCGATGTTGTTACCCGTTAATTATTATTTCACTTGTTTTTGTGATTTTATAAGTAACATTGTTATATTTGATTTACTTATGGATTTTTACAAGATTTCGTATTATCATTATGTTGTTATGTTATTGACTTTTGTTTCTCAAATATTAATACCGAAGATTACCTTAACAACGTTTCCTCTGCGAGGCATTTGCATGTGACGAAAACTATAGGCTCTTCCGGAAGTAAAGAGACGTTAATAAAAACATAATAATTGAATTGTACATGTAACCCCCATGGCTGACTTGACATTGGCAAAATTCTTCAAGAGAAGCCAGAAACTTAAAAAATAGAAGGAATTATATATATTACCTAAGAATTTTAAAGATTTCATTTCTTCTGGTTATTCGTAACGTTTCATAACGTTGTAGACATCATATAAATCTTCACTAAGGCGATTAACACACTGCACCGCGCCACGCGATGGTGCGCAAGACGCGGAAATCGCGCGCGGTGGCGATGGCGTAGACGCAGATCTGCGTCTGCGCGGGGGCAGCGGTCTAGCGGCCCCGCGCTTTTTAAAGTGCTCACTTCGTAGTTGATCGCCGTAGTGATTGTATATGTAGTTGAGATCCTTCTTTGACTAGAATGGTTAATAATACAGAACTCATTCAGGACGCTACAGTTACACTGACTATTTGGTTTTTGTATACTAAAATGAAAAGACACGGAAGATATTGGATACATCCCTTTTTACGAACCAGATCGATAATGGATCATTTCAACTTCATTACAAAGATTTAAGAAAATATGAAGACAAATTTGGTCGATTTTCATTAGCAAATATAAATTTATCGACATCGAGATCCATTGTAGAAAACTGAATACTTCCTTACGCTTAAAAATCTACGCGATAGTGCGGACCGCAGTGCGCCATACCCTGCGGGGGCGCGGTAAAACCGCGCGGAGAAGCTTTGATAGTGTGTTGGACGACACGTGTTTTCCATACAACGTTAAAAAACGCAGCTCCGCTCTCCGTCGCGGGGCGCAGTGCAGTGTGTTAATCGCCTAAGTGTTGAATTATTATAGATTTTCCGTTAGTTAGGAAAAACGGAGTTATGCACTTACCAATGCTATTATTTTTACTACTTTCCTTGTAAAAACAAAATGACACTACTACTCAAAGACCAATGGCTGAAGAGGATTGCTAATCTCCATACTATAGATCATAAGTCTGAAAAAGGTCAAAATTTCGTCTTATATCTAGATCGATAGTCTGGAAGTAGTTTATATTATATATATGACCGTGGGGTATCAATTAATTCCTCTTTAATATGAAATATAAGTAGTCAGTTTTTTCCTGTTAATATTATTCAAATATTGACAATGAGCTAAAATTATTTTCTGTATTTTGATAAATATACATGTCAATAGATGGCATTGTGTTACAAACTAATTTATAAATTAACGTTTTCCAATATGGGTAGATGGCGCTTATCCCAAAGAGTAAAAGAATATCCGGCAGTATAAATGACAACAATAATCGCCATTCAATTGATTTTTTTGTTATTATTAAAAACTAGAATAACTTAGATAAATTGCCGCTCGTCAATTTAAATTAATAACATTAATATATTGGTAATAAAAATAGCCATTTGATACTCGTCGCGACATCTAGTGCACCAATAGATACTAAATACTCGACTACGCTGTCTTGTTTCGCGATTAGCAGTCCTTTTGAATTGAATTATTGGTTCATGCTTATAACTAATGAATACGTAACTGAAGGGTCGGTTGGCATGATGTTTTTCTTAACTATATTTCATAAAAGTTCCAAAAAATTATTACTAGTCCTTAGTGCTTGTTTGTAGGAAATGTAAAAAATTAAATTTTTTAATTTGTCCAAA